CCCACACCCACACCCACACCCACACACCCCACACCCACACCCACACCCACACCCACACACCCCACACCCACACCCACACCTACACCCAGCTTCTTCCCAACTACGCCCATATGCATCCATGTCTGTCCTCATTGGTTCTTGACAGAAAAGTGCCTTGATGAACAGCAATGTTGGTCAGACGTCTAGTCGTATCGTTTTACTACCACTTGTAATAAAATATGTCAAGTGATCAAGTTTATTGAATTGCTAGAGTGGTAAGTTATTTAGAATAATAAAATGAATTGTTTGCGATAAGTTGATTGATCATGAGAATAGCTATGAAGAGTGAAAAACAGTCAAATCATATGTAAAAAACAGATTATCTAGAAACTTTTAAATGTTAATATACATTTCTTAGTCGATGATAACTTTTTCTGTTGTACATCGACCAAAGTTTTCTGGCGAATACATTTCTTCAGCTTTGGCTGGCGGAACGATAAATATTCCAGCACAGGTTGCACGCATTACATAATTCCATACATATATACCAGGCCATAATAATGATCGAAATGCTTCAGCACGTTCATCTCTTAAATTTTCATGTTCAGTCCAATCAATAGTTGCACGTGATCGATATTCATCATAGGGATAATTCCTTTTGGATCTTGTTACTGATGAGTTTGTATCATCTGTCAAAATGCCTTTTAATTTTGTATTCAATGGTTCACAACCAGCTGGTAAATAATCAACTAATGCTATATGATATCGTCGTTGTGTTGTTGTCATTATTAATGTGACTCTGATTTTTTCATTTAATTTGAATTTCCAAGTTCCATTTGATTGTTTTTCAACATGTGATGGATCATCGATAGCTGTGTACATTCGTTCAATTTTAAAACCATAGTTAGCTGCATTTAGTTGTAGACTTGATGGAGCATAATCCATTGCAATGCGATAATATAATCGACCACTACCATGCTTATCCATCATTAGATTCTTATCATTATTACCCATATTGAATGATGACGACGGCGACAAAATCGCTTTCATGGGAATATTTATTGTATATGAATTTGTCGTTCGACCTTTATATTAAGAATAGAAATCAGAATACATGATATATCTTGAAACCATCATGTTAGATGTAGATATTTAGAAATAGATACATAGAAAACTATATTTCATTTTGATCTCAATTCTACGGACATGATAACAGATTGCTCATTTTTTTTGATTCCATCTTACCTTTATATTGATGTTGACCACAATATTCATTGTCATACCAAATATTAGCCACAAAATCTGGTGTATCTTTTTCTTTGCTATGAAAATATTTATCTAATGCAATTAATACAAAACAATTTTCCTGTGTTGATTTCCATGAACCTTTCACTTTATGTGCCTGTAAACCTTTACACAATTTAGTACAAAGAGTGGAGTTTGGATCAATATATAATAATGATTCTAATAGAATAGCATCTGTTCTTTGATTTGAATGTAACATTACTGATTGACCATCATCGCCGTATGATGTGATAAAATTTGCTGTTTCACTTGTTTCGCTTACTTTACCTTTTAAATATTTGTACATTAGTTCAATTGTTTGTTGATTATTATGAATTGTATCACCAGATAAAGCAACTAATAACCATCCTAATGCTTCTAAAGTAAGTTTATCGAATCCACTTCGCTGAAATAATTGTAAAGCTTGGTCAGTCATATTTTGAAGAAATTTTGTTCGTACATATAATGCATAACTCATCAAACTGAACCGAGTTTTTTCCGACCAATACTTACTGTATGGTAATTGATCGATTTCAGATTCAATATTTGCAAGATATCTTAGCGTATTTTCCAGCATATCTTGATCAACATCAAATATCTTTAAAGTGATAGAACATATTTGACATTAAAAGTTTTAAGTAGAATTCTAAAATAAACTGAGATAAACTCTCACCTTTTTATTCACAACAACAGCAAGACAATGAGCAACATGTACACTCATGTATGGATCAGGATGAGAATCCTTTCGATTTGTCCAATATCCAAATCCACCATTTGGATACTGACGACCTTTTAATATATTAATATCTGATTGTAGTTTAGTTTTCAATATCGATATGTCAGGAATTTCTTTACAATGAAATGCTTGTAAAACATCCCATAATGATTGTATACCTAATAATCTTGAACTTAATTGTTCTGTACATTCATACGGATATGTATAAAGTGAAATAATTGCATCAGTTAATGATGCTAATGCTGTTGAACTTGTTGTTACTGATAATTGACCGTATTGTGAAAGAACATTCTTTGGTGTCTTTATTGGTTGTAAAACCACTTCTTCATATACATCACCATATGTTGCAAATGCTTCAGACGTTGCTGGTGTAAATATGGGTAAACTTAGTTCAATTGCATCACTAAATGATGTACATGTTTTATTTTTCGGAGTACTGATCATGAACTGAAATCGAGCTGTACCAGAATGAATTGTTGTTACTGGAAATGTAAGAGCAGCTCGTTTATTTGGTGATAGTACAATTGAATAACCAACTTCTGGTCGATTTGTTTGTGCTGTTAATAATTTAGCATTGGTTACTCTCAAACCAGCATGTAATAGTAATGATAGCTTGGTTTGATTTTGCAAAACAACTAAGAAATTCGCCGTATCTCCATAGTTCAGAAATCTTGGTAGTAAAGGTCGAATCATAACTGGTAGTTCTACAGTAAATGACATTTCACCTAAACCATATTGCTTATCATTCGTTGCTAATGCCCATACACGATAACGTGTTAGACTATCAGGTAATTTAACTTCGATTGAAACATGACCTGATGAATCAGTGATTGATGAGGGTGTCCAGCATGCTAGTGGATTGAAGTTCGACCGAACAGCTATTTTTTGATCAGCTCCACGACCGGTTGATCTCATCTTACGGCACCATGGACCACCGCCGCCACCACCACCACCACCACCACCACCGCCGCCGCCCTCAGAATCTGAGTAGAGCCTTTCTTTTATCTCTTTCTTAAGTTGTTCTATATATTGTGCATTGAATAGCAAGCACTCATTTCTACTGCAGTATTCTCTGATATTTTCTGATCGAGTAGGATAAAATATATCTAATAGACTATTTAATTTGTGATTAGTTAATGATAAGATTGCTTCATCAACAACAATTAAGCAAACTTCTGCTTTTTTTACAGGTGCATCATCCACATATTGTTTGACGTCGACATCTATGTGGATGATCGATGATGGTGTATACATTTTATTTGGTTCTTTTGTATTAATCGAAACATTTAATTTATAAATATCTCTTGATATTTCTAGTGATACTGAGCCAGTAGCGATTGCTGGGCGGTGTGGTGAATTGTTCACTTCGATTTCTCTTGGGACTGAGCCAATTAGTTCAACGTGAACCGTAACGTTGGGTATCCAATCCTTTGATATATTAAATTTGACAGTTGTTGAATCTTGTCCTGATTCTATCTGAAATCGTATTAGTTGTGAGACTTGACCGTCACAATTGAGTATAAGCACACCATTAGCTGGGCAAAATGGTGCTAGGATCAGTAATTCACATTGATCATCCGGTTGATAATTTTTTGCATTCGGAATAATTGTCACTGAATCAGTTGGAATGTGATTATTTACTTCATGTTCTTCTCTTTTTTTTTCGTTACCACCACAGACATAAAAATTTTCATAGTAACTCATAGCTAATCGTCCTTGTTCATCTTTGACACTGTAATATGTGTTGTATCTACCCCCTAGTATCAAACAGAAGTTATATAGTTTTATGAAAAAAGAAGTCCATCGATCATTTCTTTGATTGGGGATCACATTAAGTTTGTTCTTAATTTTTGGCACTCAAGCATTTTCTATATATTTGCTTGACAGTTTTATTTTAGTGTATCGGTTCATTTCTTTTCTTTGGGTTAAATTCTAAGGACATGCATTTTGATAAATCAAGAGAGGGAAAAAATTATCTCGCATCTGAAAAAAGATGCACTGTCTACCACGATGTTTGCGTCGCTTTAAACCTCATTTCTGATGACCTAATATGGCGTAAGGTGGTTCTTTTCTTTATGAAATGTGTCTTCAATATTTATACAATAGTAGAAATTTCTCTAAAGCTTTCCAACTAAAACTAAAAATTTTAAAACGTTTATTAAAGTACCACCTTCGATTTGAATGAGAAGGGTTTACTAAGCAAGAGTTGATTTCAATGAAGTTTAGCTTGATTTTTTTTCTCCTTACAAATCCTATCTTTTTTTACCTAATTTTGGCGTATAATCAATATTAACTGCATCTTTATTTGAACTAACAATTGTTAATTTTTGTTCATCAGTTACTTCTTCAAATATTATTAAACCATTCTGATCTTCTTTTCTTTCCTTGCCATATCCAATGACTTTGCATTCAACCAAAATATTATCAATTAAATTTCCATCAATATCAGTTACAATAACTTTTGTCTCCACCGGTTGATCTTTCTTACCATAATTCTTTACGAACCAAAATCCAACATAATATGTGCATGGATGTATGAGAAAATCTGATCGTGTTTCTTGTGTTTGAGAATTCAAATCAGTAATGACTGCTAATGCATGAACAATTATTGGTCTTGGCTCTTGTTCAATACCATGATAAGTAATTTTTATTTCATGTTGACCTTTGCTGTTAGTTTTACCCTAAAAGTAAAGAGAAGGAGTTCCTTCAAATATACATAAGAACCTAAAATAGATTTTCCAAGTTATTTGAAAAATTCATTTCATAAAAGACTAAGTTTTTAAAATTCTTTCATAGTTATTTACGTCAATAAAGATAGTAAAGGGTTATTTAAATTAAGCGACTTTATACCTCAATACTCGCTCTTTGTCAATATGTTCGCCTATTTCTGAACAGTTTAATACTTGGCACTTTGCAATTCCTAGTAGTTTCATAATTGAATCTCTGACTAAATCTTGTTCATAGGAATAAGAGAAGCTTTGACATTTACAAAATGATATACAGGTGCATTTTTTTGTCTGTTAAGTTAACTTTCTTATTAGCGGATGATAACAAGGAGAAAAATGAAATCAATATAAACAACAATTCTTGGTTAAGTTAATGTAATCGATGTGAAGCTAGCACAAACACCAATCAAAATCAATGTCACAACCGACCAATCAAAATCGATCCATGTTTTACCACTTACAATCCATAAAATACCCGAACTACTTTCCTTAGCAACCGAATAAACAAAATGATGAAACCCACAAAACCCATATTCCCATGCGAAATATTCATCACCAATCCAAAAAAAGAACTCAGCTACATGCATCACGTCGGCTCCCCATGTTAAATCAACCCTTGCGAACTCATTCTCCATTGCAACCAGAGAATGAACACACCATTCGATAGAGAATTGAATTCTCTACAAGATGGTATTTTCATCAATTACCACCAACTACATGTATTAACACTTCTGTTATGATTACAACAGAATATAATACTACATTGAAAAAACAATCCGTTCCTGTAATTCTCTTCAACAAAATTACTGATAGACTCGTCACAATTTATAAAACGGCAGCTATGGAAGCACTAACTCAATTACAAATCGAAATTGACAACAATCAATGGTGGATTAAAAGAATTGTTAAGCAATTTGGAAATACTTTACTGTCATTATTCGCATGTGTTCTCTTAAGTATTACTCTGTTCGTCATTAAAGTCTCAAGATGTAAAAACAACAAACAAGTGGAGAATATCCAAACTCAAATAAATAGAATACAACGTGATATATTACAAGAAATATGATTGAAATAGATTATGATGTTATTTATTAATGACCACTTTAAATAATATGGCACATTGAAACATGCTACTGTTCATCGTTTGACATAGCTGTAATAATATATAAAAAAGGAACCACTATAGTATTGTTCAAAATTCAATTTTGTTATAGCTTTTTCATTCTATCAAAAATAAAGTTGTTACGGAAGATCAAAAATGTTTAGTCAGAGTTGACAAAATCTAAATAAAGTATCACTATCATTGAGATAAATATTGATGAAATTTTGTAGTCAATACGTTTTATTTTTATAAATCATGTTTGGTGGATAGCAAGATACGTAGTGAATTCGACTTCAAAATCTTAATTTATATACATGAAGATCGACGTATCCAATTTATATTTCTTCTAGGCAAAAAAAATTTAATAAAGTCATCATGATAATGAAGACTCATGGTGCTTGAAAGGAGAGAATTTTTCTCTTCTTTAAGTGCACATGGAAGATAAGAAGTGAGATACATTCAATATACTTTATTGTATTGCTTATAGCTACAATTAATAGCCATGTATATCTATGTGATATAACAAGACACATTAATCACCTACCGTGCATCAGTACAGTATACAATCACCAAAAAAAACAAGAATTTTATTTGTTTTATAAGAAATGTTCGACTGATCGGAATTTCATTGCCAAATATAACATGAAGCTTCCTACTATAGTGATATCGATTGCCATTGCAAGAAACTTTATGTTCTTTGAAGAACTAAATAAACATTGTAATTATTATGGATATTAATTATTTCAATATATCCTATGAAGTAAAACACATTGCAGTATCTTTTCTTTTTTTCAATGTATTTTGATAATTTTCCAATGTTTTCCTTGTTGAAACAAGTGAAGAGCTTATTTCAAAATTTGTCTTTTTCATCATTAATAACCTAGTGAACATTATTTATGAGGTGTTTCTTTATCGCACGTCAATCCATGAACAGTTCTCGTGTTCTAATTAAGTTTTATCAATACTATTTTTTTTGTATCGAGGCCCTGTTGAAAATGGATTCTCTCTATGATGAATACACCACCTTGTAGAAAATTCAATTCTCTATCCAATGGTGTATTCGTGTTCGCGTTGCAATGAAAACACAACCAACAGGAGCGGATCTCAATCTCGAAAACCTTCCCTGAAAACAGTGACGGAGATATTTCTCGTTTTTGACGCCCTCTTCAAAATCAATTTTCTCTATGATAAATAGACATCCTTGAAGAGAATTTAATTCTCTATGATATGGTGTAATTGTGCTTGCGTCGCAATGGAAACTAAAACCACAGAAGCGGATCTTCCTCTCAAAAACATTCCCGAAAAAGAGTAACAGAGAACATTTTTCGTTTTTGACGCAACTCTCAAAATTGATTCTCCCTATGATGAATATACCATCTTGTAGAGAATTCAATTCCCTATCAGATGGTATATCCACTCTCCCGTTGCAATGGAAACTCTATCCACAGGAGCGGATCCGAGTTCCGAAAACCCTCGCTAAAAAGTGTGAGACAGATCTTTTTTTCTTCTGGAAGCCCCCTCCAGAAATCGATTCTCCCTACAAGCAATATAGCATCTTGTAGAGAATTCAATTCTCTATCGGTTGGTGTGTTCATGTTTTTCTTTGGAATTTGGATCGGTCTGTGGTTTTTTTTTCGCTGAGTGTTATTTGTTTTTGTTTTCTTGGTTTATTCTTTCCTTCTTGTAGGTTGTTATATATTCGCAATTGCGATGGGTTAGACCTCCACAGTGGATTTTTCATGGATAAAAATTCTGGTTGGTTGTTCCATTAGCGAATGGAATTACTCATACCTTCGTGGTAATTGTTCGTGTTGTGGCAGCTTCTCATCGATGTTAATGTATAGAGACTGGAGGATGTTTCAGTCTGATTTCACATTGCTTTCTCCTAATGCTGCTTGCCATTCAGTGCTTAACTCAAATCTTTATTACCTGAAAACTCTTGTTCGGATATGATATTTTGCTTTGACTATGATCATCAGAATAGTAAGAGAACGACTTAGTTCTACCAAATTTATAATCATATCTATTAGCTGGTGTAAATGTTGTTGTTTCGGCTTGTACCGTCCATTGAACATTTGCATTACTTAGATAACCACCAGCATATAATTTTCCTTCACAAGTAGCTATAACGTATCGATCAGTAGTTGGATGACAATAATGTGCTATTGATGGTTGAATCATTGATGAAACTACATACTCTGGTGTTCGAAATTCTTCAATTCGAAAATAATGTTCTTTATCACTTTTTGAATCTGGTAAACTGAATTCGACGTGTCCTTTACCTAATAATAATATGAATTCAAAATCAATTCTTTGAACTTCCAAACTTTCGTAACTAAATTTTTTTTAAGAAATTACGTATGTATATAGCTGAATTCGGAGTATATCGTATGTAATGATAAAACTCTTCAAATACATCAGAACTTTGGCTATGGACTTACATACAAGGAAATCTAGTAAGCTGTTTATAATGAGTTTATATTTGTTAAACTACAGCTCATATTTTTTCATCTAAACACGACATTATCAGAGTATGGATGTCATTGAGCACTTTGTTACTCTTGCAAATCTTTAGGTATAGCTATGAATTTCTCACTATTCACGCAAATTCGATTATCTAATTTTTAGATATTCAAGTTTTGTCATAAATATAAAACAAGATTGAACAAATGATATTTTTTTGTTCTAGTAAAAGTTCTTACAAGTGTCCTATAAGTCAGATCTCTGCAGCTTTAAATTTCCAAAACTCGAAAAACAATGATGATCGAACGAAGCAAATCTTCAGTCGGGTAGTCTTGTAAAGTATTTATTATAGAATTTTGAATTTAATCGGTTCAAAATATGTGCGAGTTTCAATGTTAATGGTTTTTTTTCTGTATACAAGTCTATCGATCCATGTAAAAGATAGCATTTTTTGGGATTCTCATAGGTGACACTAAGCTGAAAAATTCGCTAGCGATAATTTTATGTAAATATTCAATAGATTCTCTACAGTTAAAATGAGATGTATAAGTATCGTATGAAGAAGTTTCTGCCAGAATAACTATAGAGTTTTGTAAGAACATTCAACACTACCTAAGTTAACATTGTCAGGTAATGTAAATTTGATATCAAATGTCCCATAATGATTCAATTTCACTTTTGACTGTTGAAGTTGTTCACCTCGAGGATCATAAATTTTATAGTCAACTATACCTTGCGCATAAGTAGGTAGTTTCGCTTCACCTTCTATTTTCAGTAATCGAACATAACCTTTTATATGCACATCTTCCTTTGGTCTATATAAACCACGATCATTAAATACATGCCAAACGTAAACGTCATCAGTTGCTTGATCAGGATAAATATTTACTTTCATACAGAGATCTCCATCTTTTTCTACGACTAATATTTCATTTTTTCTGTCTTCTTCTTCTTCTCTTCTTGGAACATCTTCTGTCTTGTACCTATCAATGGTACATAATCCTTGTTGATTTGTTACGCTTTTATGGTTCAATATTGAAACAGTTGCTTGACTGATCGATGCACCAGTCATTAAGTTACTAACCCACGCAGTTAATGTGCCATCCTTATCTATGAGAAAAACTTGTGGGCGTTATTTCTGCGGTGGAGTGCGAGTGTGAAATTTAGATATCATTGTAGCGTGTACATCACTTCATATATTTGTACAGATTTTGTTTTCATCACATAATGAAAATTTTAAGCCAACATTTTGTATGACAAGTGTGGTGCAACTTGAAATTTTCAACGGAAATTGTTCACTAGCTTGCATAGAGAATTCCTTTAAGGAGTTATCTTATGATGTTACAGTAACGACTGTTAATGTATATCTAACGTAAGATGATTGAAGAATTTGAGTTTTACGGAAGAATCTTATTAGTTTGACATATTTTTGAAAAATTATGCCGACCACACTCTAAAAAAAGTTGTTTTTTTACTGAATCCCCAAAAAAGGTTCTGGAGATTTCGAAAAGCATCCAGATGTGTCAAAAGTCGCAAAAAAAGGATAAAAACATCTACGAAACCTTTAAAGGTTCTTATGGTGTACCCAGGATAAGAACCTTTTCCTGCGAAACCTTTATAGTTTCGTATTAAATTCTACGAAATCATGAGGGTTTAGTACGAAACTATTAGATTTTAATACAAAACTATAAAGGTTTCGTATTTTTCTACAAAACCTTTTTTTGCTCTACAGAACTAAAAAAAGATTTCGCAGAAAAAGGTTCTTATCCTGGGTACACCGTAAGAACCTTTAAAGGTTTTGTAGATTTTTTTATCCTTTTTTTTGTGACTCTTGACACATCTGGATGCTTTTCGAAATCTCCAGAACCTTTTTTGGGGATTCAGAAAAAAAAAACGACTTTTTTTAGAGTGCAAAGTTTCAATCTCTTGGTTGGTTTAGTACGTAAAGAAGGAATATTCGATATATGTGTTCATCATCTAATTGAATAATTGAACATGATTCAGTTAGAATCTATTTGAAAAGTTTCCCGCCTAATTGGAAAAGAAATAAATTCTTCCTATGTCTAATTATGCCTGTGAGGGATGTGATACATACTACTAGCTGTGAGAATTGGATGTCTGGTCATTTCTACTCAATCTTAAATTATATTTTTTGATTCTAATAAAATCAATGGGATAAATCGAAAACAAATCAGCTACTTTTCTTTTAAAATAAAATTACTTGAAGAGGTAAATATATCGACTGCTAATCTTGTGCATTGTAGCCAGACTAATAGAGTTGGTCTACCTTCCCATGGCCTATGTTCTAATTGATCGCGTGCTTTTTTGGTTGGTTCAATTGATATAAATAGTTGACCCAATTCAAAGGATTTCGCCAAATATTCCTTCAACGGAATTTTTATCTCTTTCGGTTCATTTTGTTGACAGTTTGTTTGAATAATTTCATTTAGCAATTCTTCACCAGGTAAGTTAGTGTACGATTCTTGTTCTTCATCCTCCTCATAATCTCGATAAGAATTTAGTAAACGTGATTGGTAATGCTCTGGTTTGACTCGATTAATGCGAAGTATTAATTCTGAATAATTACAAACTACAAATGAGTAATACGGGTCATCCAATAGACCAGGATCCATTATAATCATCCCTGAAACAAACATTCTTTTATTGACAACATATATCTGTTTTTTTAATATTGTTTTTATATTATTTTTGTGCTATACCTGATTCGCCCTGTAAAACTCCAGATAATGGTGAATTGAAATCATCTACGTGAAATTGAATTGATTGACTGGAAGGATCTTGTTCTAATGTTTGACCGAAAATATCTTTCAATATTCCTGATTGTATAAACAATGTATAAACTGTGTTTGGTTGGGAATTATTATGTATTAATATTTCTCGACTATTGTATTTTCTATGTTCAATACCTTAAAAGAACTTTTTCTTTAAGATTGATTTTATTTATAATCAAATATTAATTATTAAAACAAAGTAATGAGAAAATATGTTATAAAACGAGTTATATTTGAACTCACCTAAATCACTGACTTCCGGTTCGATTTTAAATATGGATTTTTTAATTGTTGAATGATCTAAGGAATTATTAAATGTAATCGTCCAACTTTGACCAGGAATAGCAGTCTGTTGGTACGAATCGTTTATATTTGGAAACCAATCAGTTATTTGTAAACGTTTATACGTAGTAAAATCATCTGACCATTCTAATGTTGTCTTTAGTGGTCCTTCGGCTGATGGACAATCTTTAGGTACTTGAATTGTATATTTTGTTGCCTTAAATAAATCTTCTTTAAATGTAAATGCAATATATTGCTGACGATTTTCTTCATTTCGATTTATGAACGATTTAAATTCACTTTTTACTGCTTCTTCATCGAATAATTCTAATTTCTCAGTTTGAATTTGATGTCCATCATCTCTGACTACACATATATGCTTGAAAATGTCATTTATATCGATTTTTTGATTGAATAACAGAAAACATTTAGGTTTTAAAGTTGTAACTCTTCCAGTTGGTAAAAATTCAAGAACTTGTAATGTTTTTGTTGAGAATTCGAAGACAAATTCATCGTCCAACTTTCCTAAAAACGATGAGAATATTAAAAATCAACGTAGAATATAATCTATTAGTTGACTGGGGCTTTGGAAAAATCTAAGGAACAGAAAACATGAATACAGAAAGTTGAACCTTTTAAGAAACAGGTAGACAAAATTATTCAGTTTTATATGTATATAGATGAAAATGATGACAATGTGCAGCATCGATATGTTGTATTTCTAATAAATCAATCATTTACTTAATTGTACCTAACTAACCATTTGAGATATTTATAGAAAAAGTTTTCTGATTTCATTGCCATCAATTTTACATTTAATTCCTATAAGAATTTGTTCTTTCAAGTACAGTTTTAGAAATCGATTTTAAGATTATTATGGTGTCTTTTGAAAAATATATCAACCTTAGCGAGTTATCCAAAATTGCTGTTTTATTTTAAGAATCCTCACAGACCGAACAATAAAATCAAGAACACTTAAAAGAATTAGAACCTGGCATAGCTGCAAGAAAAATTTCAACCCGATTAAATCTCCTTATCGGACTATATGAAAGTAAACTATTGGGCTTAAATGAAGAGTGCAGAATACTCGAGCTGTTTGAAATCTGTATTTCAGACTGCTTTTCGTCGTGTAGTATGTTCAGATGAAAATGAAACAATTTTTCTGAAAACGAGCAGGAGTATCATTGAAATTATTCAGTGAACAACCATGTGTCTTCTATTCTTGCATCGGTTATAGTTATCTATTATTGAATACACTTGGTAACCTCTTTAGTTTTAAATACATTTACCTCCGAATGTTGACACACAATGTTCTTTGTTGACTCTTAATGTATATTTTGTTGAATATGGTAAACGATGTTTTGCTTCAAACTGAACTGTTTTCGTGTCTATCCATCTCCATTGACCTTCTGGTTTTGGTATTAATGATATACCTAGATCTTCTGGATTTATTTGTTCATCGAGTGATGAAATAGCTATCATGGATTGATTAAATGTTAATGTAATGGTTGATAACGCATAATCGATTTCTTTTTCAGAAGGAGAATGTTTTTCAATGATCAGTAGACCTGCCGAGTTTTTAGCCAGTTGTTTCAATTGTTCAATACTAATGTCAAAATCCTCTTGACGATCTGATCGAGGAGGTGGAAATGGTGTTTGTATCACCTTATTTGTTTTTGGTACTTTGATTGTTGCTTTACGTTTAAAAAAATCTTGATCATCCGTTGATTCTGCAACTAATTCAGAACTAACTCGAGAGAATAATTGTTGTAATTGATCTCGAGTTAAATTCTGTTGTTGTAAATCATCATGTATCGGTATTACTCCAACATCAGCCGTTGTTTGATTATCCAGTTCATTTGCTTCATCTATATTAAAATCAAACTGATGGGACTCAAATTGTTCATGCTCAAAACTCTGATTTCGCTTTCGTCGCCTTCGTTTTGGGAAATCTTCTTCATCGCTTGAAGACATACTAGAACTTGAATATAATCTACAAAGTGATCAGAATATATTTAAACTAGATGAATGCTACAGTGATATAGAGCTTCATTTAAAGATTTAGTTAGTTCTTAGACAAACACCATCATAAAACTATAGATTCGATTGATTTGTACTAAAATCAATCAGAACAACACTAATATAATGGAATATATTACATAAAAAAGCGTTTTAATTTAGAAAAACAATTAAAAAACAAGATTTGAAGTAAACAAATGTCACAACAAAAGAAAGAAATGCACAAGGAAATGAAAGAATTAAAATTCCCTACAGAAACCAGATTTATACAATGATGTTCCCAAAATTACAAAATCGGCCACTGGAATGGCTAAGTACGCGCCTAAATAGGGAACTATTTTCGTAAACTTCTTCAATTACAAACCAAAAGATACTTCTAAGCCCGCTCGGGTGAGTCCTGGAGTAGACCCGGAGATTGATGACGTGTTAGCTTTTCAAGATATGTGGCTTCTATTTAATGCGAAGTAATGAGAGGCTGTCGGAACTTTTTTTGGGGACTACTTTCAAGAGATTTATCTATTTATTAATGGCTTATCAGTTATGATAATATTTGAGGAAATTCATACTCTTAGCTTTACTCTAATCTTAACCTACGTCTTTTATGTTCTGTAGAGCAGCGTGAGATCTATCACAGCATGTTGAGAGACTTATTAAAAAGTCCCAATAAACTGTAGTAATTGCTGCTTATCACTCTACTCTAACGCCTTAGTCGAAGTCATTATTCTGAAGTCTTCATCTATCCTCTTACTCTATTTCCTCATTCTAAACTCTTATTCTGAATCCTTGCACTTTTCCATCGGCGGAAACCATTAACTGAACTCTATGTTATTAACTCTTTAGCCATGACGTAGTTTTTTTCCCGCATTATATCCCATTAATCTTCTTAGTAAGCGAAGCTCTTATTCTTAAATGTGCTTTTAGATTGCTACATGCCCACTTATTCGGAACGGTTCGCTTATTCTCTAATCTGACTTAGTATGCTACCGTCTCACATGGAATATTTATTGGTCACTCCTAATGAAAGCCCTCATTCAGCTCCACTGTTCTAGGGTCTTATTTTGAGCTACTAGATGGTCTACATTTCTTTTAATGTTTTGATCTGTGATTTGACTGTAACCCATTTTCTTCTTCTTTTAAAGGAACATGCTCGGTCCAACGATTTATTATGTCAGTGAAGTATGGCGTCTGATAATCCATTATATAAGCAAATAAAATTCAACCCTAATCAAGAATCCCTGACGAATCCCCATGGAATCTCTGACGACTCATCAGAGAGTACAGGAATGCATTCACCGTTTTCTTTTGCGCCTATTAAAGCATATAAGAAACTTAAGATTCAGAAGAAAAAAATAGTTTATTTTTAATATTCAGTTCTTCTAAGCAATAAATAACATTCAAACCTCTACATG